AATTAAGCCCAAGAAGTATTTCTATACTTAATGACCTAAGCCCAATTGGGTTGGTATTCATTGGCCCAAAACTCGTTAAATGGTCACTTAGAAAGCCCGTTAAAGTGGAAAACAATCACCAAGAATTAGAGAGTAAAAAAAAAATTTATACATATATATCTATAACACTAACCATTTTTTTTATATATATTGTTGTTTTGTATATATGGTCTTGAAAAACAATTTTTGATCAAGAGACTTGAAAGTTATTTAAACAAAGAGTTAGCATGTTCTTTTCAAAACTTTTAAATTAAATCTCTAAGATTTGACTTGGTTTTGTTTTGCTATAATGAAAAAGATTTTCTAAAGAATTTACAATGGAGTTATATATAAAAATGTTTTCTTGATTATTAACTAGCTTCAATTAGAATGTCTAAATATATCAAGGAAAATTAGTTATTTACTGACTTATTTAACTTGGCAAGATTGACCGAATTTTGTGGGTATATTCACTGCAAACCCTCATGAGACTACAACTCGTCCACTAGGGTAACCTAGGGGTTTAAAGGCTTGTTGTATGCACTAAATACAACCGCGATTCCTGCGAAAGTGAGTTAGGATTTTCTTTTTTCTTTGCTAGAGGACTAGCAAAAGTTTAGGTGTGGGGGTATTTGATAATCATATTTTATTACAATTTTATACCTTCATTATCTATTTTATATGAATAAATATACCACTAATAATTGCTTTTATCTTTAATTGCAGGTTAATGAAGAATAAGAGCCCAAACTCTCATCTCTCAACAAAAAGCCATTGATTTAATGAAGCACATGAAGCCAAAGGAATTCTTTTAAATATTTAAGAAATAATTCAAAGCCCAATGGAAAATCAAGAGAAAATGCCAAGCCCAAAAGTCCAAGCCAAAGCCAAAGCCCAAGACACAAGCCCAAAAGCCAAGAGTTCTGCGGACAGCAACCAGAAGAAGGCAGGCATCGATGCCTGCATCGATGCCTGTATCGATGATCAGTGCCTGTATCGATGATCGATGCCTGTATCGATGCCTGCATCGATGCCTATATCGATGCCTGTATTGATACCATCGTACAGTTTGTTATAGATCTAAGACTGAAATTTGTTGTTTTTGGATAAGATTTCAATCCAATGGCTCTCATTCACTGATGTTTACTATAAATAGGGGTAGAGAGTGAGGGGTTAGAGGTGTGAAAAATTTTGTAACTCCATTTGGAGAGGAGGGCTACTCTTAATTGAGAAGACCTTCCAAAAATTATAACTTTAGTTGCAATTAATAATAATAATTTTTCTTCACTTTAAATTTTTCTTTTCTCCTCTTTGTTGAATGATGAGGATGGAGATGAAGAGCAATTTGAAGGTTTGCATTTCTTTTATTTTTATTTTTTTTAGTAATTTCTTTATTATTGCTTATTAGTTAGATTTGAATTCATGTTTGTAGTGTAGATTTATTTTCTTATCTTTTTTATTTCTTTTTGTACTTTAATTTGTAGAGTTGATTTATTTTCTTACATTTAATTTCTGCCATTCATTTTGTAGTTTAGATTTTTATTCTTTGTAGTTAGATTTATTTCTTGTTCATAGTTTAGATTTTTTTTCTTTTTATTTTTGTAATTAGTTCTTTTTCTTCTTGTTTTTATTTCTTAAGATGAGAAATTAATTCTTGTAAGAATCTTAGAATTGCATAAAACTAGTCTAATTTCCTTTATATTGTATGAATTATTCTCTTTCACTTAAAATGTTCATGTTTAGGATAATCAACTAGAGAACTAATCGGTAGAAGAAGAATTTGATAATCTATACTTATCTTAAATGGTTTGATAGGTTATGCTTATGAATTCTAGGATTATTATCTTATTGTTGTTCTTATCATGAATAGTAATTTTGACTTAGATGATAATTTGATAGGTTATACTTTCCTTAAATGGTTTGATAGTCTATGCTTAATAAATCTAAGTTGAATTATGATAAAAAAGAATAGTTTGTATTTTGTAATTAAAATTAGCTAGTGGATTACACTCTAGATTTCTTACCTCTTTTGAATCCTCCATCCTAACTTTCTTAAAAAAAAAATTCATTCTCGATTTTATTTCTTGATTTTATTCATTCTTCTCTCTTGCCTTGTGATTTCATTTATTCTTTGATTCTTATTTCTTTCTCTAAAAATTCAATTTATTATTACTTGCACATAAATCAAAACAACCACTCATCATATCTCTCTCCACAATCACACTTATTCTTTAATCCTATTTTTGTCACGCACATAATATAAGAACCTATTCTAATAATCTCTTAAAATCACCTTCCTCGTGGGATCGATAACTTTTTATACTATAACTTGATCAATTGTGCACTTGCAATTTTGGTACATAATTATGCCGCATCAACATACTTACATTATAACATGCTATACTTACATTAAAACGTGCTATACTTACAGGCTAACGTGTTATACTTACAGGTTAACGTGATATACTTACCGGGTAACGTGCTATACTTACCGGGTAATGTGTTATACTTACATTATAACGTGCTATACTTACATTATAACGTGTTATACTTACAGACTAACATGCTATACATACATGCTAACGTGCTATACTTACATTATAATGTGCTATACTTACATGTTAACGTATTATAGTTATAGGTTTCGTGTTATACTTACAGGTATCATGTTATATGTTTCGTGCTATACTTACAAACTCAGCCACAAAAGCCATAAAATACCAGTAATTTAACCGAAGAATGCAATTGACAAACTATATACAACATGTCCCAGAATTGTGCTATACTTTACAAGTCCAGTTCCAACAACAGACCCACAAGTTTCATATTGCCAAACATATATTCATACTGACAAACATATATTTATACAAATACTTTACAACTCAATTTCCAAACATATATTCATAGTGGCAAACATATATTTGCCATCTAATATAAGCGGATCAAAAGAATAATAGATTGAATATAAGCGGATCAAAAGAATAAAAGAATAATAGATTGAATATAAGTGGTCCAATGAACATTACACTTATGGAAAAATATACCTTCAGATATAAATAGAGTAACGATACATGTTCTATGTCTTGCACAATCCTTTTGGGCAATTGAAACTGGTTGACCGAAAATGAGACTAAACATGTATGCCATCAAGAACACCCTGTAATCCAGGCTACTGCAAGTTCAAATATTCACAATATTAATATAACACTTTTGGCCCGCAAATATACAGTTTCTATGTGTTAGCACATACTAAAAAACAACAACATATGAATAAGTCGAATATACTACTAACCCACGTTGTTGAGGTACATCAATACTTTCTATCTCATGACAAGAAGTAATGTCTAAATTCCAATTATCGAGAATGTTAGAAATAAGCTTCACTCTAAAATTACTAGCATCAGACATATATTCGTGGAAAGAAGCGTAATGATAAAATCTTCTATCCTTTACATAGAATACCAACATATGCTAATGAAATGAAGTTAGAAGTAAGAAAATAATATTATCAAGTTCATAGAATCGAGTAGTTGTTATTGGCTTAAACATTCGATCTACACTCAATGGGTTATTTTCATTAATGCATCTCTAAAAAAACAAAGAAAGAACAATTAAAACAAATGAGGGTGTCAAATAATTCTCAGCAATTGAAGTATTCCCTATTCGGATGATTCTACACACTTTGAAGCTAGACTTTTCACAAACAAGCAAAGCTCTTCAGCGCATATAAAAATTATTTTCATTCACTCCACATGGCATAATTTTAAACCAGATTTAAAAAAAAGAACAATCACACAAACTAAAAATTACCATGATACGGTAGCTCTATTTTCGATCGAGCCCACCTCAACTTTTTCCCCCCTTTCCCACTCACAATAAAAAAAACCCTGTAACGAAGTTTGATTTTATACATTCTGCAACAAGCAACTTTTAATTCTGAAAATAGTTTCAGAATTAAAAACAAGGAGTTTGATTTTATACATTCTGCAACAAGCAACTTTTAATTCTGAAAATAGTTTCAGAATTAAAAACAAGGCCTTTTAAATTGCCAACGTCAAGGCCTTCTTTTGGTAATATTTTTTTCTTTTTCTCCAGCAACATTTCTTAAATTTCCAGCAAAAAATCTCAACAAAATAAAATTGAGACTTATTAAGTTCTCTGAATAGATGAGCGCCATTAGGCAAATTTTCTAAATGAAAAGGTTTAGATAGGATTTAATTCGATAAATACACTACACGAAGTAAGACGATAGAACCAAATAGCAAAATAAACAGTGAGTACATGGTTTGTTGTGTTATTTTCATGAAATCCATCATAGAAAAAATTTCGTAATAAAAATGAAAAAGTATAAAAGATCTCACCTTGATGGTAAGAGAAAATATGTAATGAGCCCCAGCAACCGCCCCCCTCCCAACAAAATCTTAGAGCATACCTCCAAGGACTGTGACGGCGGCGGGTGACGGACAATGGCCAAGGCGACGGGCGACAGGGCGCGGGGTGACGGACAATGGCCAAGGTGACGGGCTCCGAGTGACGAGTTCGGGCGACGACAACGGCGAAGGGTGAGGGGCAACAGGGAAGACGGCGACAGGCAACTGGAGAGAGAATTAGCGCTAAAATTGAAAAAGGGGGAAATGAGGAAAGAGAATTGGATTTATATGGGCTAATGAAAAGGGTATTTTGGGAGCTTTACCCTATTTATGTATAAATACGAGTTTGTTAAGTGTTGTATTTTAGAGATTGAGTTTAAAGATAAATACAAAAATAGAGTTAGACTTAAAGACACAAGTAATAGTACTTGAGTTTAAAGATAATTAAGAGTAAACAAATAAGCCTAAAAACAAAAACCCCAAATAAAAATCGAGGAAAAAGGGGATCAAAGTAAGTACCCCGACAGATCCACTCGAAAAGACAAAGATCCAGCTGTCACCCCCCTCTGCCTCAAATACTGACACCCCCTCTCTCTCTCTCTCTCTCTCTCTCTCTCTCTCCGTTCGAGAAAGAAATCAAGAACTCTAGCGAGGGAAAACAAAAGAATCAATGAGTTTTAGAGGGGAAGAGAGCGGAGGCGAGGATGGGCTGCGTGGACAAGATCGGAGCTTCCTCTGCTTCGGTCATCAGGGACTCCTCCGTCTCCGTCGTCCTCTGCACCCTCATCGTCGCCCTCGGCCCGATACAGTTCGGCTTCACCGGGGGTTTCTCCTCCCCTACTCAGGACTCCATCATTCATGATCTCAACCTCTCCCTCTCCGAGGTCTAAACTCAGCTTCCTCAATCTCATCTCTATTTGGATCAGGATTAATCGCAATTTGATACCCTAAATCCCATTTTTTTATAGCTCCGATACCATACCCTTGTACGTTCGAATTTGCTTAATATTAGATTTAGGTCATTTTTGTTTGGAAGAAACAAATGAAGGAATTGATTAATGGTTTTAATTTCAGTAAGGTTAGGATTTGAAGGAGGAACAAAAGGACGCAGGGTGATTTCGTTCCGGTTTAGGGGTATACGTATCATGGGATAGTCATGTGATGTGCTTCAAGAAGAAATTTGAATCAGAAGTGGTGAAAGTTTAGGATTTTTTTTAATGGAAAATTTAAACTTCAGGAAAGTCAAAAATCAAAATTTCATGGAACTTCAGGGTATTAGAGTGCAGTTACCACATTTAGATTTTATCTTTCTTGGATTTTCTCAACCGCCCCCCCCCCCCCCCCCCCCCTCTTTCTTTTTGCAGTCTCTGCATTTGGATCGCTATCCAACGTGGGCGCTATGGTTGGTGCCGATTACAAGCGGGCAGCTTGCTGAGTAGCATTGGACGCAAAGGGGTAGAAACCCCAAAATTTAAATTTCGTCGTTATTTTTAATTCGTTCTTGTTTTACTGAATTATGGATCTGTTGCAGTCATTGATGATCGCCGCTATTCCGAACATAATTGGCTGGCTTGCCATTTCTTTTGCAAATGTGAGTTAACGTTCATTTGGGGGCAAAACGTCAAGCATTTAACGTTCAACAATATAATTGCACCCTTTTTGTTTTCTGGTGAAGGACTCCTCGTTTTTGTACATGGGTCGGTTGCTGGAGGGTTTTGGAGTAGGGGTGATCTCATATACGGTTGGTCGTAAGCTTCTAGCCAGTAGTCTTAGCTACAAGGGTTGTATAGCTTCTTATGGTTGTTTTCGCTGTTCAGGTGCCTGTATATATTGCTGAGATAGCTCCTCAGAACATGAGAGGAGGCCTCGGCTCAGTGAATCAGGTTGGATTTCTGATCTTAATATCTGTAGTAAAATTTTGATTGACAGTGGTTTTTAACTAATCACAGTGGCTTGTTTTTTTTCCTTTCTAGCTCTCTGTCACCATAGGGATAATGTTGGCATACATCTTCGGCATGTTTCTCCCATGGAGGATGCTTTCTATTGCAGGTAAAATTGTGGAATTCTCTCAGAACCTCCTTGACACTAAATATGATGGTTTCATACTCTTCTTTTTTTCCTTCGGGTTATTGATAGACCTGTTATGATTAATAAGTTGGAAGCTAGTGATTTAGACTTGAATGTTCTTTTCTTTCTTTGCATTACCTTTCTCATTCATTTTGCTTGCCTTCATTTTTCTAATAATTTTTGTTCTTTAATTGGTTAAGAACGCCAACTTTTGTCCTCTAAATTACATAAAACTGTATATCAGAACTGATTTTTTTTACTACCATATAACATGTCTTCCTTTGCACGTGCATACATATATGTATATAACTGTAACATGTTTATATAGATATTGGAGTAAGCATTGTGAGAGCTCCATTGTGAGCAGTCTCTTCGATGGTAATGCACTGTTCATAATTATCTACTGTTCATAGTTATCTTTGACTTCAAAATAGTCTAGAAGAAAACAAAGGCTAAATAGCTGAAATGTGTTTTCTGCAACCACTTTGAACATGAAGGAAGTTTTGCAACCATCCACCCCAAGCTTATAGTCTAATTTAAATGTGTCGCACAAGATGGAACAAGATGAGTAATGTGTATCATTTATGAGATGACTAATTAGTTTTAAGAAAAAAATGAAATGTTCATTTGAATATTTTCCTTATATATATATATGTATGTATATATATATGTATATATATATATATATGTATATATATATGTA